TCAGCTGAAATTCGGGAATTTTTGGGTGGAATTTGGGAGTTTTGGATGGGAACAGTTGTCCTACAACACCCCCCGCCCCCCCAAGATAGAGTGGTAGAAATTCCCCAAAAATTGTGGGATTTTGGGAAAAAAATTACCAAATTTGGGGCAGATTCCCTGGGATTCAGGGCAGAATTTGTGGGATTTAGGGGAGAATTCTTGGAATTTGGGGCAGAATCCCTCAGATTTTAGGCAGAATCCCTGGGATTTAGATCAAGATGGGCTGTATTTGGGGCAGAATCCCTGTAATTTGGGACAGAATGCCTGGGATTTGGGGGACAGTCATTGAGATTTGGGATAGGATCACTGGGATTTGGGGCAGAACCCCAGGATTTTGGGCAGGATCCCTGGGAATTGGGGCAGAATTTGGTGCAGAACCCCTTGGATTTGGGGCAGAACCCCTGGGATTTGGGGCAGGATCCCTGGGATTTGGGGCAGGATCCCTGGAATTTGGTGCAGAACCCCTGGGATTTGGGGCAGAACTGTGGGATTTGGGGCAGGACTAGTCACCGCCCCCCCCAGCATTCCCTGATCCCAGATTTTCCATCCCAGTTGGTAGCTATTCCCAGGATGGCTTGGCGCTGAGCTCTGGGGGCTTCCAGGAGCCGGGCGGGACCTTCAGCTCCCGGGGTGGCTTCGTGTGTGGGCGCAGCCGCAGGAACTGCGGGGCCATGGAGTGAGTGCGGGAGCCTCCAAGTGGCTGAGGATGTCGGCAGCCCCCACTGAGGCCATCCCTGCCCAGAGACCCTGGGGGAATGGGCAGACAAGGAGAGCATCTGTGGGGCTGGGAAAGCAGAACTCGGAGGCACCAGCGGCTCCAGGTGGGAAATGGAGTGTGGAATGGGGCTGTGAAAGCTCTGCCTTGGCTGTGCCAAGCAGGACAGACAAGTGTAAGAGACAGTCCGAAGATTCCCTCATCTGTCTCACAACCATCTCAAGGACAGAGGCTGAGACCCTGAATATCACAAAGGACTTGGTTTGGGGATTTGGGCCTAGCTGAGATGGATGTTTGCCAAGTGATTGTTTGCAGGTGGTTGCACGGTACACGGCCCTCGTTCCTGCTGGTGAGCAGAGGCTTGTGCGTGGTAACCTGCGCGGTGGGTTTTCCACAACACATTGCCCTCGTTCCTGTTGGTGAGCAAAGAGTTGCAAGATGTGGTTTGCTCTGTACCTTACACCTGACCCCCGTGCAATGGAATTCATCACAATGATCATCAGTCTCCTCTGGTTTTGGCCCTGCACCCCTCACTTTGCAAAAGACTATAAAATTATACCCCAAACTTACCTTCTTTTGAGATCTCCCCAACCAACAGAAGACTGCGTTGTTGGACGGCTGAGTGGACTTCGACGTTGGTCACTATAATCACCTTACTGTCTGTTCCTTATGCTTTGATTTCTCCTTTCTCTCTCTCTCTATCGCATATTAGTGCTGATGAGCACTCAATAAAGTGTGTTTTGCTGTTTAAGTCCTTGGTTTGCTGATAATCTTTTGTACTCTAAGACCGACTAAAAGACCCACATCACGAATCCCACCTTGCGGATCATGACACCCCCATGTTCCCCTCTCTGTGACACCACAGCTGTGACAGTCCCAGTGTTCCCCTCCTTGTGACCCCACAGCAGTGACTGTCCAAATTTTCTCTTCTCTCTGACACCACAGCATTGACTAATCAATTTTCCTGCTGTTTGTGACACCACAGCAGTGACAGGTCCAGTGTTCCTTTCTCTGTGACACGATAGCAGTGACTCTCCAAATTTCCTCTTGTTTACTTGTTGATCCCTCTCTCTTTCCCTCTCTCTGGAAAAAGGATTAATCTGCAAGTCTCATCTGGCTAGTAAAAGTGTCAAAATCTTGCCCAGGCCTTGGGGATGGTGCTGTGATCTCTGCCAAGGCAGCGACTGGAGCTGTTTGCCATGGAAGATTTTTGGTAGCTGCTCTGGAGGAGTGTGGCCACTGTCTCAGCACTCCACAGCTCAAGAGCTTTCCCTCCCCTTCCTCGGCAGTCTCTGGTGAAAGCCAGCAGCGGCAGAAACTGCAGCCCAGCCAGGAAGCGGCCTGGGCCGGTAGCCCCACTGCACAAGGCTCAGTGAGCCCTGCGAGGGCTTCAGCCTCTGGGAAGGGGCTCCTGTCACTTCACAGTCTCCATCCACCACTGGGAACTGTGGAACTCCGGCCAGGCCTGCACCCCCCGTGTCCTTGTCCGGCCTGGGAGGGAGGAGGCAGAACTGGAGCCCTGTTATGTCTTCAAAAGCCAGAAACCAAAGAGAAAGAGAAATTCCCGGGCTTAAGTTTTAAAGAGTGGTGTTCACAGATTGATGTCACTTTTCAGTGGTCAAAACTACTGTCAGTTCTCGGAAATGGCCTGTGATTTGCCAGGAGAAACAACTCCCATCAGCCTCCAGCAACCTTAAATTCCTTTGCTGTTTCTCTTTTTATCTTAAATGTCAGTCTTTCACACACCACAGCAGTGACAGCCCCAGTGTCCCCCTCTCTGTGACACCAGAGCAGTGACAGCCCCAATCTCCTTCTCTTTGTGACACTACAGCAATCACAGCCCCAGTGTTACCCAGGTTGTGACACCACAGCAATGAGAGCTCCTAATTTCCTTTTTTCTGTGACACCACAGAAGTGAGAGCCCTAATCTCCTTCTCTCTCTGACAACACAGCAGTGACAGCCCCAGTGTTGTCCTCTCTGTGACACCACAGCAGTGACAGTCTCCATTTTCTCCTCTCAGTGACACCCGCTATGAGCAAAGCAGGGAGCACAGTGCCTGTGGAAAAGTAGGCTGCATATCTTTCTCAGTTTCACCTGAGAAAGTGGCCTGGGAAATGATAAGGAGGAATTAAAACAATCCTCAGAGACAGAAGACAGCCTTGCAGGTGCTGTTTGTCAGTTTCTTGTTTTCTTGCAAGAGAAGGTCGAGGGGTGGTGTACCCCACTGACCAATGACAGTGTTGTGTTTGTTCGCTAACCAATAAGAGTTTTACCTTTCTGGACTTTCACGTATTGGTCTACAAAAGAAGATCTGAGGTAATTAAATTCGCTTTCCTTTTCAACTCATAAGAGAGTCTGTGTCGTGCTTCTTGTCATTCCCAATAGCATCGCAGGAACCCACAAAAAATGCATCAAAAATGGGGAACTCCCCTTGAATCCAAGGGATTTTTGGGATTTTTTTTCCCAAAAGCAGCAGGTTTTTCAGGGTGGCAGGGGAGGAGAGACCCCCTCCAAATTCCTTGAGATGACCCCAAGGCACAGTCTGCGAAGGCAGCGGAGGGTGACTAAAAGGGCATTTTATGGAAATTAAGGGAACTTGGGGGGATTTGGCGAATTTTAGGGAATTATTTGATTTTTGGGGGGAACTGGGGGAGGTCTTGATTTTGCGAAGTCTTGCGTTCCAGGGCCAGGCTGCAGGATCATGTCCAGGGAAGCCACAGTTACCAGGAACAGGCATGGGACACCAATGAGATGGGATTCTGCTCAGGAAACCATTTATTCAGCTCAGGAACAAACTCAGATCCAGAGACAGTCCCAAACAGAGGCAGAGAGATGGGGTTTGAGAACCAGGGTGGTGTTCAAGGTCAGGGACCACTGGGAACACAGTGAAAGAAACCCCAGGGGCCCAAACCCAAACAGAAATCCCTGGGCTGCCACCCCACAAGGGGCCCAGGGTGGAGTTTCTTCCTGGGCTCACAGGGCTCATCCTCTGAGGCAGAGGGATGGAATTCCCTCTTGCCCACACCTCTCACTTTAACAATATTCATTTGAAACTAAATCTTTGCATCCCTGGGCAGGGGAATCTCACAGAAAAACTCAGTAATGGCCTCCTGCTCCCTTCACCACCCCAAACTTTGGGTGTCTCATTGCAGACCCCACCCCACCTCCCCAATCCCAACCCATCCCATCCCTGCAGGACATCAAGACCCCCTTCCCAAGCCCTATTTCCCCCATTTCACACCTCCCAATCCCCATCCCAACAATCCTGCCCCACCCAATGCCCATCTCACCCCTCCTGATTTGCATCCCACTTCATCCAATCCGCTTCCAATCCCATTCCACCTGATGCCTTCAGAAGGCTGACCTAGAACAGAGGCTGGACAGAGTTAAGAATAAAGTTTATTAAAAGAATTTAAATACATTATGGGCAGTACAAGAGCCAGGCCAGGGCTACACCCAAGATGGACCAAAAATGGTCACAAAAATGGACAAGCGATCACAAGGTCTCACATTTTCAGAAGTTTAGGTCCATCTGCATATTTGGGTTCATTGTCCAGTTACAGCTTCAGATGAGGAAGTCCCATCCTTCCTGTTTTCTCTCTTCAGTCCACCTTTGTTTATGCTTTTGGGCCTGGAACTTGTAACGACTGTCCTTGGATTCAAGCTAGAAAAGGAATTGTTTTGTCTACCTACTCTGTGAAGAGAGCTCACTAACAGCTAATGTGAAGTTCAAAACTACAAAACAAGACAGTGCAGAATATGAAAAATATGAAAGCTAAAACTTGAGGCATCACACCCTGAGAGGATGTGGAATTGAATAATTTTGGGGTGGGACTGAGTAGCATTCAGAGGCATTGAGTGGTTTTGAGCTTACAGATTGAACCCTCTCATCTCTTTGAGTGACAAGAAATGGAGACAACTACAACAGATACCCCCACAACCCCAAATACTCCCAAGTATCTCCTTGAATACCAGATTACCTTAAAGCACTAGTGAAAAGTGAGGCTTTAGATGCCTTTGACGAATTTGTAGACTTTTACACCAGTTTTGTCTGTTTTAAAGGGATGAAGATGACTCAAGAGATAGAACCAAAATAAAATGACCAGCAACCCAGTGTGTTCCCAACACAGATCACTGGGAACGTGGGTCATGAGGGCTCTGCCCAACGTGGGTCCTTTCATGGGGGATGGAGTTGGGGCAGCGCATGAAGCTCTTCCTGCACTTGGGGCACTCGCAGGGCTTCCCTTACTGGTGCCTCTGTTGGTGCTGGTTCAAGTGAGATCTCTGTGTGAAGCTCTTCCCACACTGGGGACTCTCGTAGGGTCTCTCCTCAGTGTGGATGTGCCGGTGCGTAATGAAGTTGGAGTTGTGCTTGAAGCCCTTCCTGCAGTCGGGGCAGCGGAAGGGCCTCTCATCCGTGTGAATCCGCTGGTGCTGGAGGAGATGGGAGCTGGTCTGAAACCTCTTCCCACACTCAGAACACTCGTAGGGCCTCTCCCCAGTGTGGATGCGCTGGTGGATGGTCAGCTGGTACCTCCATCTGAAGGTTATCCCACATTTCTCACACTCATAGGGAGGTTCCCCTGTGTGGTTCCTCTGGTGGCGGATTAGGCTGGAGCTCCGGCTGAAGCTCTTCCCACATTCCCCACACTCGTAGGGCCTCTCCCTAGTATGGATGCGCTGGTGCCTGACGAGGTGGGAGTTTCGCTTGAAGCCCTCCCCACAGTCAGGGCAGCGGAAGGGCCTCTCATCCGTGTGAATCGGCTGGTGCCTTAGGAGATGGGAGCTGCTGTGAAACCTCTTCCCACACTCAGAACACTCGTAGGGCCTCTCCCCAATGTGGATGATGAGTTTGGAGTTGCAGCTGAAGCCCTTCCCACATTCCCCACACTCATAGGCCCATTCCCCAGTGTGGATCATCTGATGGCGGATCAGGAGTGAGCTCCGGCTGAAGCTCTTCCCACACTCCAAACACTTGTAGGGCTTCTCCCCATCCTGAAGCTGCTCATGGACCACCAGCTCAGAGCCCTGGCTGGATCTCCGGCCGCCTTCCCAGCATAGGGTGGGTCTTTCCTCCTCAGAGCACCCTGGGATGGGTTTGGAGCCCCTCCTCCTGCAGGATCTCTGGGGATTTTCCTCCCCATTGGATTCCTGCACTGTGGAGCTGCTCAAAACAGCCTCCTCTATGAGCTTCTGCTGTGGGGATTTGTCCTCCCTGGTCTCCATCCTCAGCTCCTTGTCTGGGGGAGGAAGGACAAGGAGAGGATGGGATTTATCTTTGTGCCAGAGGGAAGGGGAAGGAGATCCCCCCAGTGCGTCCCTGCCAGGACGGCGTTGGCAGCGGGGTTGTCCTGCAGCCAGGGGCCAGGCTGGGCTGGGAGATGGAGCAGGAGAGAGGGGGAAAGGGGCACTGACTTCCTCCTCACCTGCCTGGGTGTCCTGGGACATCTTCCTCTTCCTCACAGCATCTTCCTCCATTGGGCCAACGGTCTGGGAATGAGAAATCCTTGTTTGGGGAGAAATATAGTTCATGAGCACATTGGAATAGGGGGTTCCTCCTGCTCAAGTCCATCTCTAGAAATCACAAGCCTTCCATAAAAACCTCCCAAACACCAAGATTCATCCCCTAAAATACCTCCCAGGAGTTCCCCATCTCTGGTCTCTCCCCTTTGGTGTTCAGGGGTTCCCCCCTGTCCCAGTTGCTGGGGGTCACACTTGTACTGGGGCTTCTCCATTTCCTCAGTCCCTGCCCTCCTCAGGCTGCTGGGAGTGCCAAGAATCTAAAAAGTTCCCGCCTTTTCCATCTTCTCACTAACAGATGCTGGGAACCCCAGTGTCTCCACAAGGGGCATTTGCCGCTCAGCTTTGCAGTCCTTAATTCTTAAATATCTCCCCCGCCCCGCCAAAATCCAACCCAGGGATCCCCCAGGATATCTGGGCTGAGCTCCCTGTCCTGGGTCACCTGTGGGATGGGGGATGATGATCCCATGGTGAGGGGCTGTGAATTCAGGGAGTGCTTGACCTCGTGGTTCCTTCTCCTTTCCCTGATCCTCCTTTGTCACTCCTCTTCCTCCCTCTCCCCCCCTTCCATCCATCCATCCTCCTCCTCCCTAACCCCACCTCCTTCTCCTACTCCCTTCTTCCTATCCCTTCTCTCTTTCCTTCATCTCTCCTCTTCCATCCCTCCTCCTCCTCCCCCAGGAGCAGCGACACCCTCGGTGCCCAGTTCCCAAACCCCTCACAGCCCACGGCAGGAGCGGGGATGGAGCCGGGACAGGTTGGGATGGGCAGCGCGGGGCTCTCCCCTGCTCCCACCCGCTGGGGACGGGGGGAACCCGGCCCAGCGAAAAGCAGAGGGAAACCGGGAAAATTGGAGGCTGCAGATCCAACCTGAGGCTGGCTGGGGACCCTGGCTGGGGACTGCCAGCCCTTGGGGCTCCTCTGGGGAGATGTGGGAGGGGGGAACACAGAGAGGGCTGGGGGATCCCAGGAGTGGCAGCACTGGCAGGGACTGGTTTGGACTGGGATCATCCTGGTAGTGGCTGAGATTGAACTGGCTGTGTACTGACATCAAACTGGGATCATACTGGGAGCAGCTGGGCCCATGCCATGAGAGACTGCAATCACGCTGAGGGAGACTGGAATCATACTGGGATCATACTGGGACGATACTGGCAGTGAGTAGGAGCCTGCAGGGGGCAATTGAGACCAGGCTGGGGGCCAATGTGATACACTGGGAGTGAATGGGATCATGCTGATGCTGACTGGGAGAGTTGAGAGCAAATGGGATCATGCTGGAAGGAACTGGGAATATGCCCTGTGCTCCTAGAACCCCAGGAGCACCCCCAACATGTCCCATAAATGTGCCCCAGACCCTCCAAGATCCCCGAATGTCCACTCAGTGCCTGTTCGGGACCCCCCCAAAGCGTCCCTGGATCCCTGAATGCTCCCGACCCCACGGATTACCCTTCCAGCCACTGCTGGGAATTCATCTCCCATCATCCCACAACACAGTTCTGTGCCCAAACCTCCTGCTGTGCCCCGCGCCCTAAAGAGCCCGGTCAGAGCTCCTCAGGTTCCCCCCAAGTGCTCCCGAGCCGTATACATTCGCCCCGAGCACCTGCAGCCACAGCTCGGACGCAAAAGTTTTATCCAAGTGCCTCCCCACACCGCCAAACGTGCCTTCCGAGCCACTTCCGGGACTACAGCTCCTATCATGCTCCGCGGCGCCCATAGAGCGCTATTCCAGCCAGGACTTCATCTCCCGTCATACCCCGCGCCTCACCGGAATCCATTGGAGCTGTGCCTATAGCTCCCGTGATGCTCCGTGGCCCCATTAAACCGTATTATACCGGCACCTACAACTCCCATCATCCCCCGCGCCCCATAGATTCCCTGTTACAGCCCCCCAAGTCCCCGCCCGGACCCCGAAGGGTCCCCGGATTCCCCTCCCTGACCTCCAAGTGCCCCCCTGGGCCCCCAAGTGCTCTCCCGGACCCCGAATCCTCCCACAGAATCCTTAAGTGCCCCTCCAAGTGCCCACCCGGCTCCCCCAAGTGTCCTCCAGACCCCCAAGTTCTCTCTAAATTCCCTCCCCAGACCCAAAACTGCCCCAAATTCTCCCCAGAAAAGTCTCCATGGACCCCAAAGTGACCCCTTTTACCCTGTCTGAGAAGATTTTAATAATGACAATCAAAGGACTAAAAATAGGACTAATTAGCATAAAGAGGGAGAAATTGTGGTCAATTAATTAATGAAGGGAATTTTGGTATTTAGAAACAAAGACCAATAATGTTTTTAGTTGCGCAAAATGTATCAATTCTTTTATATAAATATAAAAATTAGGTTATAAAAATACAGAATAATATTATTATAAAAAAAAATTTATTGATTAATTGGATTTTAATGATAAGAAAATTTGATAAATGTTCTCAATGTTTTGGGATGTCAGTCCCAGGTGGGCGATGTCAGACATGCTGAGGCTTGGGGTGAGGAGCAGGTTGTCCAAACAGGGGCAGCCCACAAGGGTCTCATTCGTCCCCCTGACCAGACCTCCTCAGGAGACATTCAGCATCAGGATCACTTGCGGAATGCTTCTGTCACCTCTTCTCTCCACCAGAAAAGGAAGGAAGGCCCAGCTCTGCCCTAGTGACAGAGCTGCACGGATCCTCCTCTTCTGCGGTGTCCAGTGGGAGCAGTGGCGGTGTGGGCGACCCCTCGGGGCCCCCACCCCAGAGCTGTGCTGCTTAATAAAGGCCTTTTTAAAAGGAGCTGGTCTCCTGGCCTGTTTATCACACATGAAAATGATTTTTCTAGGAAGGGGCTGCTAAGAGCTTCCTCTGTGCTTAGCAAAACCAATAGCTGGCCGGCTCTGAGAATTGACACCCTTTAAAACCATTTAGAAGCTGGATCCGCCTCTGTGAAATCCACATTTTAAAGTCAGGCAAGCCCAGGAAAACTCTAGTTGTTTCCAGCTGTGAAGAGTTAACTGTGTGCTGGTCAGGCCGGCCCTGCTCCAGCCTGACCTTCTCTGCCAGGCCCCGGGAGTGGCTCTGGGCTGGGCCAAGCCCCCTTGTTAAGAATAATTAGAAAATTGTTAGCCATGTTACAGTTACTGGTTGTAAACCCTTTACCTTGTACCCCTGTCCCAAATTGCTGCACCTGGTGTTTCTTGTTCCGTGCTCAGCCAGGCCCTGCCCCCACTGCTCCTAGACTCCCACATGCCAACACTGTACTGCTGCCCCAAGTTGCTGTACCTTGTTCAGTTGGGCCCTGAGGAGGAGGATGACATAAGGACTTTTATGTAAACAAGAGAAACCAGAGACTCATGGGACGCACACAGACTGATAAAAAACCCCGAGACAACGAGCCACACAAAAAGGAAGGAAAAAATACAGTACCATCGAACAAGGAAGACCCAGAGGAGTCCCCTGACATCCCTCCAGAGGCCAACATAACCACGAGGGGACTCAACTAGGATGACATCCTAGACTACGAGGCCAAAAATATGAGTTTTCCTGGGGACTCCTCTGAGGAAGGAAGGCCCAGCTCTGCCCTAGTTGACAGAGCTGCATGGATCCTGCTCTTCTGCGGTGTTCAGTTGTAGTGGTGGTGTGCACTACACCTTGGGCTCCCACCCCAGAGCTGTCCTGTTTAATAAAGGCCTTTTTAAAAGAAGCTGGTCTCCTGGCCCATTCATCACACCCTGACAGCCACTGCTGTCAGCCCGCTGCCCTCGCTCATCTCTGCACAGCACCTGCTGCTCTTCCTGCTGCCCCCTCAGGATCCGCCCGGCCGTCCCTGGGAACACAGAGCCTGTCAGGGCCCCAGTGGCACAGCTCCCTGCTAGCGGCGCTGCCAGCCCTGTGGCCACACGGCCTCCCGCCCTGGCAGGGCTCAGCCCGGGCCCTTGCCGCATCCTGACTCAGCCCAAGGGCACGGCTGCCAGAGGCTGGCAGCAGCCCCGAGGGCAGCCGGGGCTC